AGGTATAACAAGTAGAATAAAAAGAAGAAAAGAAAAAGAAAAAGAAAGAAAAGATCAAGTAAAAAAGAAAAACCAAATCGGCAAGCTATAGAAAAAAAAAAGAAAAAATAAAAGAAAAAGAAAAACAAATTAGAAAAGAAGCACAAAAAACAATTTTAGAGCTTGTTATAAAAGGAAGAAGACCCTTTCATTATGGACTTTAAATAGTCAAACAAGCAGCTTACTTCTGCTTGAAGTAATGCAGCAGGTTCACTTAGGTACTATTAGAGTGGCCGAGTGATACTGGGCTTGGTAGTTAAGGATATTTATGTAATTGCAAATGTAATTCTAAAATCTTAATAAAGCACTAGTGTGACTGCTTAAGGAGAAAAAAAAATAAAAAAAATAAAAATAAGATATAAATACTTAACAAACTACTTGAGGGGTTGACAACTTATCTACTTCACTAAGTTGCCACATTTCTTAGATTTTTTATTATTTTTATAATATTTATATATTACTAAATAAATTTTATTTTTTTTATTTTTTTTACAAAAAATATTATATAATATTTTTATACTAGTAGTTTTTTATTTATATATTTAATTAAAGTTTTAATTTATTTGTTTTTTTTTATATTTATATATTTGTTTTTATTTTTATTTTTATTTTTTTAAAAAAATATAATTTTTTGTTTTTATTTGGTTCTATTTTTTTTATTGCTGAAATAATCTTTATTTTATATATACTTATTTAAAAATTTAGAATATTTTTAACAAATTCTTTTATAAGATTTTATTGTTTTTTTAATAGAAATCTTATAATATTTTTTATTTTAAATTTATTTTATAAATCTTTATATTTATAATTAATTTCTGTTATTTATAACAAATTTTTTTTATTAAAGATATATATATTTAAAAATTAAATAAATTAATTTTTAAAACATTATTAAAATAACTCTTCTTGATAATCCTTTGCACTAATTTTTTTATATATACTGAACTATGAAAATTATATAATTAGTATATTTATATATAACAAAACTTTACTATATAGTATCTAGATTCAAAAGTTTCAGATTGCATATAAGTAATATGAAAAAGAGTTAAAAAAATCTACTTCTTGTGAGTTTGGTTTTTTGGTAAAAGTCTATATAGTTATTAAAAAATAACTTTGACTACAAACAAGAAAGTTTTGTTAAGCTATATCTGAGCAATAACAAAAATAGAAGTCTGATTAAATATGCTATTCTATATAATATAAATTCTTATATTTATTACAGTCAGTATTTTAAAAAATTTTATTTTTTATTTTTTTTTAAGAAATTTTTATTAAAAAGTAGACAATCTAGCTTAGTTTTATCAAATTTGATATTATTGATTCTTTTAAATTGGAATTGTTTATTTTAGTTCTATTTTGAAAAAACCTATATTATTATTTTTTTTTTTTTATAGTTAAAGTCCCTATCTTGGGAGTTGCGATGTTTTTATTCAAGTATATTAGGACATGGCATGCCACCAGAGGCTCACCTTACATTGGAGGTTACAACTAGTCACACGTGCACTTTTGGTGCCTAATTTAAGTAGTCCGCTTACACATTACTATATAAGTTCTACACTAGTTGCCATATCTGCAAGCCAACTAGGGGTCTTGATTATTTAAACCCTCTGCATATGCAATCCTCCTTGTATCACAGGAACATCTCAAGATGCCACCTATTCAAGTTCCCAATGCTTATCAGTCTCCTTAGGACTACTTTATCCTCGATAGAAAACTTACTAAAGCCTTTATGTTCTACATATCTAAACCTAGTTTTATACAACATGCTATAGTTACCTAACATTTGCAGTCATAGGGGTTGTCTGTTTAACCGCTATGTTATACTATTTCTACCCTTGTAAAGTTCACTAGAACCCCAGTATCCATTTTTTCGGCATCTTTTCCATCATCTCTTACTAGCTGCAACTCAGAACTGTCGGTCTCATTTATCCAGACTACCAATCCAGATGGCCCGGTATAGTATACTTCTGTATCCTTTTCCTTCAGCGAACCCAGCAGCCTGGTTGGTTATATGCTCCTCTACATATATTTGTTATTTGGTTTTAATCTTCAATTCCTATGAAAGTGTTTCATGGGCTTCAACTTGTCCAATGGTACTGTCAAAAGTTCATGCTATCTTTTTACTCGGGAATTTCCAAGTAGGTTTCTGTCATCTCGGTTCCTTAGTCTTCTATACCTGGTGGACTTATCATAGGTTTGTACTGAAGTCTTATGCAACACCGGTAACATTCCTCTATATACATGTAACATTACACTTTGCATAGATGCCTTGAGCTCCCAAAGCGGGGAGGACCTGGCCTGGTGTACTTGGGTAACAGCCACATGAGGCCAACTGATCGACAGGAGACAGTTACCATAACACAGATATAATTTCCAAATTTCATCATAGATGGAATTTGAACCTTAGACCTGCCACTTGGAGGATGACAACTCAACCACTACACTAGGATCACCATTCTCAAAAAAAATCTATATTATAAATAAAGCATGAGTATATATATTTTTTAAAAAAATAGAATAATAAAACAAGATTAAAAATTTTTAATAAAAGATAAGATAATTGATTAAAAATATAACAAGTATTAAAATATAAGATTTGATGAAAAGTATGATGAATTATACATGAAGATGGATTTAGTAACAAGAAGTTAGAGTATCTGATATATAGAAAATTCTCTGTCAATTCAGTTTTAGTTGAATTGTTTTTTTTAGAATATAAGCTTTAGTATTAAATATATTAATTAGATAAAGTTAAAGTAGAAATTACTGTATTTAGTAATATATAATTTTTAGTAGACTAACATAGTCTTTATAATTAGTAACTGTTTGTTTAGCCTTCATCAGTAACCTTCTTTTTTGTTATTTTTTTATATTTGTTTTTTTTTTATATTTCTCTTCTATATATATATTTATTTAGTACATTTTCTTTTTAACAAGAAGTTTTTTTGTTTTTTTTTTTATCTTTCTATGAATAAATAGTATTAGATTGGTATTGTTTAATTGTAAGGTAACAGACAGACAAGCTTGATTCAGACTTTAACAGATCTGGTGTAATAGGTTATTTATAAGTGCCAATTAAGGTAATTGCATGATAATAGCACAAGAGGTTAGATTAGTTATATTTGTATATTGTCTGTACTAAACATTTATAAATAAACTTCTGACTGGTTAACCATTATAGTTGCTAAAGTTAAAAAAAAAAAAAAAAAACATTGTTAAAATGAATTTTTTAATACTAAGTACTTTATATTTATAATTTTGTAAGCTAATTTCTTTTTTTTAAAAGTTAAAAAAATGTTAACTAATTTATTTTTTTGTGTTTAATTTATATGTTAATTTTTGTTATTTTTAAAAATGCAAATTAGTAAAAAAGGTTTATAATAATAATTATATAAAAATTTTGGTTTTAAAATAACTTTTATAATCATTGTTATACAAAATTTTAATTAGAAAATTAAAATAAATAAATAAAATTATAGCAAAAATCTTATATATATTTTATTAAATAAATACTTATATAAAAACTAATTTTTTTTGTTATAAAAATATAAATTTTTAATTTTTAAAAAAACAAATTAAAGTATGAATTTAAAATCAAAAATATATAATTTAACTTGATCAAATATTTAAATTCCAACTCAAGCTTTAATTTGCTTTTACAAAATACTATTTTAAAATAATATTATTAACTTAGTAATTATTCTAAAAAATTAACTTACGTTTGTTAACTACTTAATATTACAATTAATCAACTATTCAAAAAGAAATTTTTACAAAAAACAATATATCCAAATATATAACAAAAATAACGTCGAGAAACCATAATTGGAAATCTTCAATATGCAAGAATAAGTAATATATCTTAGTAGGTATAATATTTTTGGAAACAAATTTCAGATATTATAATTAAATCTTTTATAAAATGTGATATTTCAAATAATTTAAATAAAATACTAATGCTTAAAAGCAACAGATTGAGGAATTCTAGTAATAGATACAAAAATAATACTGAAATTGTAAATGTTGAAACCATAGATATTAGCAGAATATCGTTATACGTAGATATTAGTGATGGCATTGAAATTATGAATATCGATGATATTGAAATTATGGATATCGGCGATGAATGAGTTGTATAATTTAATTGAAATAATTAATTAATTTCACGACTAATCGGAATAAATAATTAATTTTAAGACTAATCGAAATAAATAAATAATTTTTAAGTTTGAATAAAAATAAATTGTTAAAATCTATTAAGACGTAACGTACGTAGGGGGTGCTTATTTTTGGATATAATACAAAACTTAGTGGTGCTTAATTACGGGAGGTGCTTAATTTCGGTAATACATCATCGATATATAGTAAAATTAGACCACACTTAAATGTTAATTCCGATACTATTTCAAATCGGGTTTAATCGATTTATAACGCATTTAATGTGCATGCTAAACTGAATGCAACCATTGCCCTCGCAGCAATTTTTTGGACAAATTAATAGGTATAAAAATCATGGTCTTATTTAAGTCATTAAGGCATTAAATAATTCTGAACAAAGAATCAAATTATGGGTTATTAGTGATGCTCAAAAATTGTCAACTTCGGTCTATCGCTATGTATATAAATCATAACGAGCTTTACAAATATAATCAGATGATTATATTGATATAGTGCATATCGGATATGTCAAGGTTGGTATCACATTAGTTTTGAATCACATACAACATAAGGAAATCAACAAATACAAAAAAAAGAGGTCATACGTATAGTCTAATACTATATCGATATACAATTGCAACTTTAAATATCGATAGCTACGTATCCAAACCAGTGTTACAATGTATTATAAAACTTAACAAGAGAAGTTTATCGGCAGAAATAAATATAAAAGATCTATATTCTGTAAAAATGATAGCATACGGGAGAGATGTGAGATGCAAGGAGGAAGACAAGATTTGTTATACGGTAGAGTCCGAAAGTACATCCATTGAGAACACCGCCTGTGGAACTTTCAGAGCCTTAACGTTAACTACTACTATTTATATCGATGTATTTAATTGTTGGTGTCGAATTTTTTAGAAATAAAGTCGGCTTAGCCGACCAATTTACCCAATTTTTTAGAAATTCAACTATTGCAAGATAAAATATGAATGAATTTTTATCACTTCTCGGTGCAGGCAAGAAGAAAAGGGGGCAAATAAGACAACAAGCACTAGTTTTTTTGTTAAGTCTTTTTACCGCTGATACTACTTACTTTTTTTTAAATAGGTCATCGAGTTCATTCAATTAGCCTGAGAGTCGCTGGGTATTTAGATTGGAGAAGCTTGTTGGCAGTGAGGAACTGGGTTTGATTCTTTTGCACTCGTTAATTTTGCATGTATTTGTCAATTTACACGAACTAGACGGAATGAGCGTCTTTATTCGCATCTGTTTTATTTTTGAAAAGTGGATAGAAACATATCGCCGTCATTATAGCGTAACGAAGAATGAAGCTTTTTTATGATTATTATTACTTTGAATCGTTACGCAACGTCGTCTTTTTTCACCTCAGAAAAATTATACAAGAAGCTTTATATCTTTTTATTTACTTTTCTTTTTTTATTATTATTTACGTAAAATAAAATAAAATAAAATAAAATAATAGCGTGGCCAACAGGAGCTTCCAGATTATAGTTTGATTTAATTTTTAAGATAATAATGACTAAGCCGGCTTAGCCGTATCAAAATTATCGACGCTACTAAGCTTAAAAGTTTTTAATCGATTACAATCACTACTTGTACCATCCTTAATGCGCTTTTTCTCTTTACGACGTTTATGTTTTTGTATGAGTCTTTGCACCTCCAATGAAGCCGATTCTTTATTAGAAATTTTGCTCGTATCTGAAAGTTTAGTCTTTATGGTTCGTTTCTTTGGTTTCGATTCCGGTACTTTTAAATTACTTTTTACTGGATCTTTAATGGAATCCTCATCTATACTCATATCATCATAGTCGTTGATTATAGTCTGTTTATCCTCCAGCTTGATAGCTTTTTTGCTTTTTGTTTTTGTTGAAGAATTAACATTCTTCCGTGTTTTCGATTTAGTAGTCCCGCTAATTTGATTATTTATAATCTCTGCCGGTGGCGAAACACCGGCACCGAATAGGCCTGGTGCGGTTCCTAATCTTGTTATCGCATAAAATTTTGGATCTGGCCTTTTTTCATTTGCCAAATGATCTAAAAAATTCGCCGTTTCAGCGACAATTAAATTTTCTAAAGCACTTTCGTCTTCCATATAACTGTTACATTCTGATATACTTGTTTGAACGTTAGTTGCCTTTGGAGGATTTACTAGGTATGGAAAATATACTATATTGTTCTCTTTGTTTAAAGGAACTTCGAATCTAAGAGAATTTTTAATTTCCTCCGGTGCGTCCGGTTGAGTTTCAATTCCAAAACCATTTTGTAAAATGTTTCTAAGTGACATGGCCAAAATTTGGGTGAAATTACACTAACTGGATTAATTTATATGTTGTAGAATCAGTGGCTTAGCTAAAAATTCACGTGATACATATTAATATCCGTAACAGTTGTTACATGTATTTAGCCAATAGAATTTAGAGTTATGGTTTGGGTTACACACATTTTCATTTGTTTTTATTGGCTATACTAAGTAAGATGTTACAAATAATATATATAGTGAATATAGTGAACCTATAAAAATATATTTATTGTATTGACAGTGACCCTCTTACAATTATGAAGATATACGTATTTATAGATTTTATAAATTTTATAATTATGTAATTACAGAATTATGGAACTTTTTTTTTTTAAAAAAACAAAGTTTATGATATTATTATATGTATACCAGATATATATACGTACGTATAACTTTAAGCTAAATGCGTACAAAATTATTTGGTACACTTACAAATACATACAGTATGTGCGTATGAATCAGATATTAGATATATAAAAGTTTTGAATACACATTAATATTCAGTGGTTGAAATTTGTTGTTGAAAGGATTTAATATCCTTTAATTTTGGCAAATTAGAATGAATTGACTATTGAAAGTCATTGTAAAGTTAAAACACTATCGTTGTTAATGTTAACGTTAAGATAATGCGACAGTAGTACATGCATTTAATCATGTGGTTATTAATAGACCAATAATATTACTTGACACAATTTATAAATGCAGATTTATTTAGCCAGAATGTCGTCTTCGAATCAAAGCTTCAAACGCTTAAGACGATGCTGAATGTTCATATGATCTTCTTTATTTAACTCCTATTTGTAACGTTCATCGCTTCTTCTAAAATTAAAATTGTTGTTAGGCGGTCTATAGTCATGCTGATAATATGCTTAAATTAGGATGAAACAAGGACAATAAAAGTAAACTATCTATTATTTCTTTTCATTACCTGAAATTGGTATGAGCTATTTTTATAGTGCTTGAGCGTGTCATCCAAAATGGACAATCGATAGCACATGCGCCATTAAAGAAAAAATCCGAACAATTGCAAAATTTAAGAACTTAATTCAATAGAATATGTGATGAACTTTATGAATTTGGTAAGTATTGGAAACATTTTTATTAATTGAACCAAATTCTAAAAAAGATATGAAAAAAAAATTGGTTACATATAAATTGATAAAATTTTTTTTAATATTAATGGTGAGGCCATGCCTCTATCTTTATTGAATATTTATTTGAAATTTTTACATAAAACATAAATTCACTATTTAAAAATATCATAAAAAGAGTAGAAGCTCAGACTAGTTTATCTGCGACCTAAACCAATAAATTGATAAAAAAATTTTTAGCATATTTTTAAAAGTTTTTAAAGAAAATACAAACGACAGAATTTTTAAAATTTTTAATTGCTTAATTTTAGTATAACTGCTTCTAATTAGTTAAATAAATCTATATTTTTATTTTTTATTTTAATGGTTATATTATTTATTTTATTAGTATTTACTTTCAAATTTTAGTACAAAATTACAAAGTACAATTTTTTAATTATTTAATACATGTATTTTTTAGTTATTTACTAAATATCTAAAAGTAATCTGTTATATCAAATTTACAAAAATTAAAAAAGCTTTATCTGTTTACTACTTTGTAATTAAAATATTATTAATTTTTTTTTTATAATGTCAAATTGTAACTTATATTTTATTAGCTTTTTGCATTACTATTATATATAGTTACATTATATTTGTATTACTAAATTACTTTTTGCTCTAGACATCCAATATAACATTATATATAGTTACACTTTTTTATATATATTTTGTAACCTTTATTGTATATTACAACATTGTTACTAAACTACTAATAAAGCTATAATCACCTTGTTATACTTTAATTTTTCATTACTTTTATTTTAACTATAACCTATCTGTTTACTATTTGCAATAATATTTTTTTCTCTCAAATTGGTTAACTTTTATAGTTTTTTGTTCTTGTTGTTATCTATTTAATATATATAATCTAATATACTTTCTGATACTCTGTTAGTATAGTTAAACTTATTAAAATCTAAATTATCAATTTGCAGTCTATTATATATATATTTTTTAGTTATACTTTTATAATTGGTTTAATCTATGTTTTGATTGCATATGCTTTTTGCAAATTTTTTTGTTAGTATACTATTAATTATATATTAATATACTATTAACTTAGTGTTGCAAGAAGGTTTAAAACCTTGACTTATTGTATATAGATATAATAACTATTATTTAAGTTATGATATATGATTATCTTAGGTATTATTTTTATAATACTTTTACTGATACTTACTTAAAATATTTTAATTTTAATTAAATTAATTTTTTGTTACAAATTTTTTTTATATATATTATATTACTTATTATATTAGTTTTAATTACTGCTTTATATTATTCTTCTAATTAAATACTTTATAAGTTGAATACAAAAATATTGGTGTTGCTCTATCTTTTGAAAACTTAAATTGTATAATACTGCTATATAGTTAAACTTTTTGTGATATTGCTATTATATATAGTGCTTTCTTTTTACAAAATTAATGTTTTTTTAAAAATTTTTATTTGTTTTTATACTTTATTTTAAAATTTTTTATAAAGTTTTCTATCTAATTTGAGTTACATTTTTGGGTTACAAAATAAAATTCTAAAATTTTGTCTTTAGTCTAATTTGAATCATTAACTTAATCTGTAAAAAGTTAACAGTTTTACTATATATTAAGCTATATAGTTCAACTTTCAAATATTATTTTTTTTTTCTAAAGAAGTAAAAAAAATTTTTAAATTAAAAATTTACAATTAAAATATAATAACTTAAAATAATTAGTAAGTTGTTAATTTCTAAATAGCAGATTTGATGTTTAAATATTATATACAATAAAATTTAAAAATTATATTTATATTACAATAATTGTTTCTTGATAATTAAATAAGTTTATATTTATAATATTAAATATAATATATCTAATTACTTGTAAGCTTAAAATATTTATACAAAATATAATATTATATATATATATATAAATACTTACTAGTATTGTAAAAAATTTTAATACAAATATATATATAATAAAATTATTAAATACTAAAAACTAAAAAATTAAAAAAAGCAAATAGCAATCTTAGTATAGTAGTTGGGTTGTGATCCTTCAAGTAGCAGATTTAATATTTAAATTTTACTTATAATAAAATTTGAAAATTAATCTGTATTATAATAACTGTCTTCTGTCAATCAGTTGGATTTATGTATCTGTAATCTTAGATGTATTAAGTTGGATTTTATTTGCTATTAAAAGTTCAGAGCATCTATGTAAAAGTATAATAGTATACATATATAAAAGAATATTAATAATTAGTATTATATAAAATATCAATACAAATATATGATAAGACTATTAGATATAGAAGACTAAAAAATTAAGAAACTAAAAACAACTTAAAATTTTTGAATAAAAAAGTAGTATAAACTTTTAATGATATCATCAGACTGATTAAAGCTTACAAAACACTTTATAAAAATTAGTAAATAAACTAAATAACAAAGATGTATAAAGAAGCATATTACTAACTAGACTACTAAAATTATTAAAAGAAAAAAATATTAAGATATATTATATTATATAGAGTATTTGAATTAGAAATCTGAAAAGTCTATTGGTTTTAAATTATAACTAATAAAGAATGATAAAGAAGATATTGAAAAAATAAGTACTAAAATTCTAGTGAATTTTACAAAAGTAAAAAAAATATAATGTAACAGTTAAACAGATAATCTCTATGAATGCAAGTATTAGATAATTATAGCATATTGCATAAAACTAGATTAGCTGTATATAAAACATAAAAAGCTTTAGTAAATCTGTTATTAAGAATAAAGTATTTCTAAAGGTATTGATAAGCATTAAGAACTTGGATAAATAGTGTTCTGAAATGTTTTTATGATACAAAAAAATTGCATATATAAAGAGTTTAAATAGACAAGACTTATAGTTGGCTTACAAATATAGCATCTAGTATAGAACCTATATAGCAATATATAGGCAAACTATTTAAATTAAATACTAAAAATGCACATATGACTAGTTGTAATCTTTAATATAAGAGAATTTTTGGATTCAACTATGTTCTACAAACTTAAATAAAAATGTTGCAGCTTAAAAATAAGAACTTTAATATAAAAAATAAAAAATAAAAACAAAAAAATAAAATTCTATTTAAAAATTTTTAAATAAAAAAATAACATGAATTTTTAATTATATTATTAGATTAATAAAAGCTTATAAACAACTTTTAAAAGAATAGACAAATAAACTAAACAACAAATATATATAAAAAAATATATAACTAATCAAATTATTAAAATTATTTGAAAAAAAATATAAAAGTATACTATTATCAGATTATTTAAATTAGTAGTTTAAAAAGTTTTGTCAGTTTTAAATAAAAAGATTAGTAAAAAATTATTAAAAAGATGTTAAAAAAAATAGATACTAAAATTTTAATGAACTTTATAAATGTATAAATAATATAATAATAATGATTTACCAAAATATTTATAAAAAAACTGTGGCAACTTAGTAAAATAAATAAGTTGTTAACCTTTTAAGTAGTAGGTTGAATGTTCAAATCTTATTAATAGCAAAATTTAGATAATCATCTATATAATACTTATATTATGACAACTATTTCTAATAATTAGTTTAAAACATTTGTAATAATAGTTATACTAGTATAACTAACAAATTATAGAGTATCTGTATAACTAGTCATATAGAGAAATGCCTTGTAATAGTTCATAAAACCACATTACTAAAAAAATTGTCAAAAAACCAAAAAGTTTATCTAAAAAAATATAGATATATCTGTAACTATAAGTATTAGTTTAACTATAATATATTATATAAAATTAAATTATTTATATTTAGAATATAGAAGATTTTAGTAAGTTTTTATAAAGAATAAAGTTTTAAGAATACTAATACATATTAAAATTTTAAATAGTTTATATTTTGAAGATTTTTTTTAATATTAAGATGATCTTTTTGGTTTTTTGATTTTTATTAATGCTTTTTTGATAATATGTTTTATAAAAAACTATTACAAAAAGAGTATATAATTAGCTATATATATAATTTTTCTATATTATCTATTTAAAAAATCTGTTTAAAAGTTTTTTATTAACTGTTATATCCAACACTTTTGCTTGAATGTTTTATTTTAAATTCTCTAAATCTGCAAACTGTATTAACCTGTATTAACATTACTAGGTCATGTTTAGATTATTGTCTTAATTTTAGAACTATTTTATTTTTAAGATAAACTTTATAAAGTTTTTTGTACTTATTTTTATAACTAACCTAGTAATACTATAACTGAATTAATATTTGCAATCAGAATTAGCCATTAAACTACTATGCTCTTACAAAATTTATTTAAACCTTATAGATATCTGAAATGCTTTAGTATATTCTTCATTGTTATCAAATTTTCAATATAGATAGCTTAATAAAACTATAATCTGTTTATTGATATATTAGATTAACCAAATATTATTTTTTTTTAGTCTATTTTGATAGTCTGATTGGTGATACTTTTTACTTAGAAGTTCTTGTCTATTTGGCTTTTTTATATTAATATCTGTTTTATAAAGCAAACCTTTGCAATAGTATTATTAAAATTTTATATTATTTCTCTACTTGGGTTTTTTTAAATAAACTTCTTGTTTTCTATTTTAATAAATTTATACAGTTACAAAGATTTATTTTAAGTTTGTATTATCTAATGTTAATTTGTATTTCTCTATATAACTAGTTATACAGATACTTTATAACCTGTCAATTATACTAATACAACTATTATTACAAATATTTTAACTTAATTATTGAAAACAGTTGCTATAATACAAATATTATATAAATAATTATCTAAATTTTTTTACTGTTAATAAGTTTTAAATATCTAATCTACTACTTAAGAAGTTAACAACTTATTCACTTTACCAAGTTATCATACTTCTTAAATATATTTTATAATACAACTTGAATTATATATATATAAAGTTTAAATAAACAAAACATATAATTGGCTTATAGGTATAACATCTAATATAAAACTTGTATAGTAATATATAGGCAAATTATTTAAATAAGAAGTATAATGACTTAGTAAAATAAATAAGTTGTCAATTTTCTAAGTAGCAAATTATAAGTTCAAAACTTACTAACAAAAAATTTGAATTGTTTATCTATATTATAGCAATTGTTTTCAATAATTGAATTAAGATATCTGCAATTATAGTTATATTAGTATAATTAATAAGTTATAAAGCATTTGTATAACTAATTATACAAAGAAATGCAAATTGGTATCAGATAATACAAATCCAAAATAAATCTTTAAAACTATAAAAATTTGTAAAAATTGATAAGCAAAAAGTTTATTTAAAAAAACCTAAATAAAAAAATAATACAAATCTTTGATAGTACTTCTGTAAAGACTAGACTTGAAAAATAGATACCAATATAAAGTATTCAAACAGACAAGAACTTTTAAATAGAAATACTACCAATTAGATCACTAAAATTATTAAAAAAAAAAATATTAAACTGATTTGATATACTAATAAACTGATTATAGTTTTACTAAGCTATTTAGATTAAAAGTTTAAAGAAAAAACAAAGGTATACTAAAATACTAGGAATATGCTATAAAGTAAATGCTAGGGTTTAAGTAAAGTTTACAAAAACATAAAGGTTTAATAGTTAGCTCTAACTACAAGTATTAATTTAGATATAATAATACTGAGTTAACTATAAATTGAATATACAAAATGCTTCAGAAGGTTTATCTTAAAGATAAATTTATTCTAAATTGAGACAAAAATCTAAATATAATCTAGTAAAGTTAATACAAAACAGAGTCAAAAAATTTAAAATAGAACATCTAAGCAGAGTTATTAGATATAATAATCAGTAAAAAACCTTTAGATAAACACTTTAAATAAGTAATATAGAAAAGTTATATATATAGCCAATTGTACATTCTTTATATAGTAGTTTTTTACAGAATTACAGTATCTAAAATACTAAAAAAAACAAAAAACTATTTAAATTAGTTACTAAAAATATATATATAGCTAGTTATAATTTTCTATATAAAAAAACTTTTGAAAATTCTTATATTTATAATAACTTAAATAGAAATTATTTTTAGAAAATAGGAATTTTATTATAAAAATAAAATAAAAATAAAAATTTATAATTAAAAAATTATAAATAAAGATACTAATTATTTTTATTAATATTAATTTATTTAAATTTATTTTATTTTTTATTTATTTATTTATTTTTTTGTAGTTAAACTAGCTTCTTTTGGAGCTAGGGCTTTTTATTCAGTAGTTAGAATATAAGAACTTATAGCCAAGGCCTTAAAGGAGTCTTCTTACATTAAAGAGTACAACTAGTCACACATACACTTTTGGTATCTAATTAAGTAGTTCACTGATAGTTCTATACTAGCTGCTATATTTGCAATCCAACAAAAGGTGTTGTCTATTTAAATCCTCTGTATTGCAATTTTTACTGTATTACTAGTTCTCTCTACTATATAAGTCAGTCAAGAAGGTCTAAATGCTTACCTATATTCTTAGGACTCTATACTTTATTTCATGCAGTATATCCTCAGAAGTATTATTACTAGAGCCTTCTGTGTTCTATATATAGCTAACTTAGTTTTATATAACACACATTTCTAATCTTGTAAAGTTCATTTAAATCCTAGTACTTATTTTCTTGATATCTTTTTTATCATTTTCTACTAATTGCAACTTAGAACTGACAGACTCTCTAAATTTCCAATTCAGATAGTCCAGTATAGTATACCTTAGTATCCTTTTTCTTTGGTAATTCTGATAACCTGGTTAGTCATATGCTTCTCTATATATCTTGTTATCTAGTTTACTTGCCTGTTTCTATAAAGATATTTCATAAGCTTCTATTAGTCTAACAGCACTGTTAAAAGTTTGTGCTATCTTTTTGTTTAGGAATTTCTAAGTAAGATTTCATCTTCTTAGTTTTTTAGTCTTCTGCATTTAGCAGTCTTATTATGAGTTTGCATTAAAGTTTTATGCAATATTGGTTATTAATATTCCTCTATATACATATAACATTACACTTCATATAGATGCTCTAAGCTCCCAATAATGAGTAAAACCTGACTTGGGGGTTCTCAAGTAGCACACTCAATTAATTAGATAATGATCGTAATGGTGCTCAACCGTTATGTAAAATTTAATTAGATCTTCATTGAAAATCAGTAGAGTGAATAATGATGTAATTGACGTGTTCTCACGTACCACCCTCAATGTGATTGATTTGTGATTGTGTTTACGTTCAAGCGTTGCAATAATTGAAATATTGATTGCGATTGATGGTTAAGCAAATACTTTTATTATTGCTATCTTCTAATCGCTTATTGTTACTATTAAAAAATCATTTTTACAAAATTGTAATAAAAAAAAAAAAATGATGAACCAACAGAAAGATCAAAAACCTGTACCGGTGATTCCAGTTTCTTTTCCACCTTTTTCCGACTTCACCAACCTCCATATGTTTTTATAACAAAACTATCCAACTCAACTTTTTTTGAATCCTTTAGCAGCAAATAACTCAAATATTGAAGACGAAAAAGTAATAAATACAAATAATCTTAAATTTTATATATAGCTTATATTAAAATTAATATAATATTTTAGGTTTCGCTTTTAAAATCCTCTGATAGTGATTATAGCAAAGAAAATATATTAGAATTAGCATCTACTTCTAATTTATCTAATGTTTTTAGCATCTCCAGCAATGCTCATTTAAATAGTAATGCTTCTAATAGTAAGTCATCAAGCAGATGGACATCTTCAGAAATCCGTATTCTTATTGAGGAAGTAGAAAAAAATCAAAAAGCATTACAGCAAGTAAGAGATCTAAGACATAAGGGACGGATTTGGGACAAAATTGTTTCGAATATACAAGGCTATACTACTGCAAGTACTGCTTTGAAGGAACGTTCTAAAACATCCATTCAACAAAAATAGGAGTCACTTCACCAAAAATATCGTAGCATTAAAGATACAATTAAGAACATAGGTGAAGAAGCAGTTCAAACTGAATGGGAGTTTTTTAATAATATGGAAGAGTTTTTAAAGAATGATCCTAGTATTAGTGTGCCAGTAACAAGTGATTCGATCAGTGGAATAAAGCGCAAACAAAATGATCAAAAAGAAGAAGTAAGTTTTTAATTTATTTTTATTATATGCAATATGCATAATTTATTTTTATTATGTATGTATATGTAT